TCAAGACCATAAGATTTAGGGAACCGATCTTGAAAAAAGCCATATAATGTCCTAATCAGTAAAGATGAGAAATTTGGCAGAGTTAGAAAGTAAACCCTTGATCTTTTAATTTGATCTTCTTTTCCATGTAGGTTCCTTCTTCTTGTGTGTGTGCGTGTGTTAAACAAGCTGTTAAGTTGTTTTGTAAATAAACGACTGAAATAAGTCGGTCATCAGTAAATTTTTATAGAGGTCTTTAGCTTTGTAAAAGAGCCATCTCTATTTATCAACAGTTATCCTGTACCATAGAGTGTGCCAAAGCATTCTGAATAAAGGAAAGAGGTATTAGGCGAGAATCAAAGCAAATTAATAAACCAATTAATTAACAAGCTCCAAGTTATTATAGCCCAAAAGTTAAGCCGTAATCGACGTTAACAAAAAGCTACCTTGCACTAATAACGTCACACTTTTACTTTGTTTTGATGGGTTAAAACCCTCACAAAAAACATAGATATATATCCCAAGATCTTCTCTCCATTTTGGCACCGAGAAAACAGCATTTGTTATTGAGAAATCATCTTTAAAAGACAATAGATAAATTTTCACGAATGTATACGTTTCATTAATATCGTGACTGATTGCTTATTTTTTTAATAGAACCGTGACCAAGTAAAGTGAAGGAAAAGTGGAATGGTAGAAACAGTGTTATTATGATGTAATTGTTATTAATTTTTTTTTATAATAAATTTTTATTACTGTTCCAAAAATTTTTGATTAGACACACTCATTATATAAAGAAAAAAAGCAGGGATACCTGAAAAATAGTTATCTGAGTTGATTGGATATGATTCCAATGGGTCTGGGACACCCACTTTACCGACAAGACACTTTACCAACAATCAAAGTAAAATCGAACTTGACATAGAAATGGTCTTGCGAGGAACACCACAACCTCCACAGAAACCACAAGATCGTAATCGCGAAATACGGATTCAAACAGTATTAAATGACCGTAACATTAGATCAACTATAGAGTTTCTTCGGGGAATTTCCCATAATATTTCATTTTAAATTTTTTTTTTTGTAAATGATTGATAAATAAATTTAATAAAAACAATCAAAAATAACATGAATATGCAATTTTTATCAATTTCGTCAGACAAAAAAAAATATTACACATGTATTTATATTGTTTTTTTATGAACTGGTTTTTGATGCAAAGTAAGGATAATAAGTTGTGTTATTAGTTAATTAACGGTTGATTTAACTTGTCTGTAAAAAACCAACTTTTAGCTAGTTATCCAGGTCTTCACACAGTCCTTGGCAAATTGCTAACACAATGCTTGTCGGTAAAGTGCCCTGTCGGTAAAGTGGGTGTCGGTAAAGTGTCCGGGTCCGCCTGTAGTTATGCAATGCCCGCGACTAATAAATTTATACAGATGGACACACAAGGACGTACAAAATTGCTATATAGTTCTTTTATAATTTATTATGGTAAAAAATATATAAAATTTTTTTTTCAAGATTTTAGGTTGAATTACCAAATAAATAAATCCATTATAAAAAAAAGAATGCTTTTTGAGAATGTAGCTGAGGAAGAAAGGAAAATTCCAGTTCTACACTTGAAATGTGATTTGATAAAATCCAAATTTAGTCAAATTAATGAATTCGTTTGTTTACTACTATTTTTATTTTGAATATATATAAAAGTCAATAAAAATGTGGACTTCTCTTTTTCTAACTTTTTATAGTTGAATCAATCTATTTAAACATAATGAATATCTTTTTAATATTTTTAATATTGTTCAAATGCTTGTTTTTAGTGGTGAATTCAGCACCAACTGACCCAAGATTTGTACAATATTACACATGTATCTATATTGTATTTTTATGAACTGGTTTTTGATGCAAAGTAAGGATAATAAGTTGTGTTATTAGTTAATTAACGGTTGATTTAACTTGTCTGTAAAAAACCAACTTTTAGCTAGTTATCCAGGTCTTCACACAGTCCTTGGCAAATTGCTAACACAATGCTTGTCGGTAAAGTGCCCTGTCGGTAAAGTGGGTGTCGGTAAAGTGTCCGGGTCCGCCTGTAGTTATGCAATGCCCGCGACTAATAAATTTATACAGATGGACACACAAGGACGTACAAAATTGCTATATAGTTCTTTTATAATTTATTATGGTAAAAAATATATAAAATTTTTTTTTCAAGATTTTAGGTTGAATTACCAAATAAATAAATCCATTATAAAAAAAAGAATGCTTTTTGAGAATGTAGCTGAGGAAGAAAGGAAAATTCCAGTTCTACACTTGAAATGTGATTTGATAAAATCCAAATTTAGTCAAATTAATGAATTCGTTTGTTTACTACTATTTTTATTTTGAATATATATAAAAGTCAATAAAAATGTGGACTTCTCTTTTTCTAACTTTTTATAGTTGAATCAATCTATTTAAACATAATGAATATCTTTTTAATATTTTTAATATTGTTCAAATGCTTGTTTTTAGTGGTGAATTCAGCACCAACTGACCCAAGATTTGTACATGCTACTGTTATTGTCAATAATAATTTATATGTTATGGGTGGTTACACTAATGATCTGCCATCAAGAGAATTTTTTTCTCTTGATTTGTCACAAGCATTTGATGCAACAACTCCACCATGGAAGGATTTAACTGAGGCTTCACCATTGCCAGTATTAATATCATGGGCTAAAGCTAGTTCCAACACAAATAATGATACAATATTTTTATTTGGTGGTGCTATGTTTGATACTGTAACTGGTGATTATAATTTGAAAAATATGGTTTACACCTATGATTTTAAAGGCAACCAATGGTTAGCAAACCCACCTGCTTTTCAAGGAATGGCACCTAAAACACGTAAAGAATTTGCAAGTATTAGTGATCCATTGACTGGCAAATTATATATTCATGGTGGAACAAATTTGGAATCTGCTACTGATGTTTATTATAAAGAATTTTTTATTCTGGATGGAAATAATCTATCCTGGAGTCAAATTGGAAAAACTGGTCCAAATATGCCACCTCCTAGAATTGACCATGCTACTGTATTAATTACTAATGGAGTGATTGTTTTTATTGGTGGAAGAGATTACAATATTACTACTAAGTATTTAATTGGTGTTCCAATGAATAAGGTAATAATAAATAATAACTATAATGATTAATAAAAAATGTGTAGTTATTAATTTATTTAAAAAAAGCTTACATTATATGATACTAAAACTGACACTTGGGATTTAATGGTAATTATTAATTTAACAGGAGAAATTTATTTTAATTGGAAAATATATTAATCATTTTTTTGTATTTATCAGACTACAGTTGGTGGTCTAGATATTGATTCACGTACTGGACATACAGCTATATATGGTAAATAATAATAATTATTATTTTTTTGTATCTTATCATCACTTAAAAAAATTTTTCATTGTATATATTTCTTAGCTGCTAATGGTCAAATAATAGTTTATGGGGGAACTACACCTGCATTAGAATTAACACCTACTCCTGTATTAGCTGTATTAGACACAACTATAAAACCTTTTAAATGGATCACACCTCCAGTAACAACACCAGAGGTTCCTATCAACCCACTCACAAACCATCAAGCTGACTTAATTGGAGATTATATGGTGATAACATTTGGTAAATAAATAAATTAATTAATAAAAATAACAATGATAATAAATGTATGTGCATATGTATGTATCTTAAATCATTTATGTACCTTAGGTAATATAACAAATAATGCTGGGCCACCTCTT